TTGAATGATTGATGATGGGGGGAGAACAACGCATTTTCCATCGGGCCTACGCTACTGATCGCGCTCGAACGATTCGAACCTTAAATGTCAACCGAAAAGGCAAAATGCCCTCGTTTTTCTGCGGCCGTTAAGGCAACGTGTAGGCGGAAATGTCACTGCACATCGACCATTATTCATGCCCTAACCTGAAAAGGTCACTGGGTTTTTTTCAATACTTATTTATAGAATTCGTTGATTTCGCGTGCAGACTGTCTGTGCCGCGGCCGGCGCTACTGTGGAGTAGCAGCGGCAACAGCGCAGCGCATTGCCGGTTCCGACCAACTGCATGGAAAGTCTGTCCGCCCTTAAAAACCATCATCGATGTTAATTATAATTTTTCATCAATAAAGCGTTTGAACGTCCAGGTGCATCGTAATGAATGGATGTTTTTAATTAATCGAACACGGAATAGATTAATTCGTCATCGCTTGGGCTGAGAATTCAATTAATCAGAAGGTTGAGGATGGTTTGTTCGAAACGTGTCCTAGACCCATCGACATGGTACTCATTTTATGCTGAAATTGTCCGCAAAAGCCAAATCTGCCATCAGAATCAACCTGCCGAGAGCCACGTTCGAAATACATGCAAATGTTCGTTTGCAACAGGCAAGAAACCAATTTTTTTCAAGGACGAGTGGGCGAATCGCAATTCTGTTGCCATATTCGGCTTTTTGAGTCAATTTCAGCTGAAAATTAGTACCAACTCGATGGGTGAATTTTCGTTATTTTGCATGAAAAATTCCTTCGGTTGGTGTTACTTCAGACATTTTGGACTGAGAAACTGATTGGATTGAGACAACGAGAAATGTCTTGTTGAGAAATGTTGATATGCAAATAACTAGATACGTATTTTTTGGGGCCAATCCACTGAAATTGCGTGGTTTTTCAAATTAAGTATTGAGAAATCTAAAATAAAATGAGAAATTGTGAGTCAAAACGTCTGATTATTGGTGTCTCACTCAGACATTGTCCATTTTCGCAACTTTTCTGCATTTTCCGTCGGAAACTTGCTTATTGCTCTTGTTTTGGATTGAGAAAACTATAAATGGTTATCGCTTTCGGATTGGTAATTTATTCTATGAAATAACTTTTGCTCTAGGGTGATATTTTTTGGTTAATCCATAGAGAAATTCCGTGGTTTTTCAAGTTGAGTATTGAGAAATCTTAATTTATAATATATAATATAATATGTGGATTGAGAAATCGGGAAACGAGAATCAGTAATTGTCCGCAGGCGGATTATTTGAGGGTGGCTTTTCAAAAGCAAAAATTTATCAGAAGGAGGATTGAGAAAAGCACACAATAACAGCGAAAAATGGCGTTCTTTCCCAGAAAAACAGTTTCTCGATGGATTTTATGGCAAAAAACTGACTTCTAAAAAAATTGATTCTAGCGAAAAGTAGAACTGGAACAATTGGAAAAAAATCGGAATGTGCGCCAAAAACAAAACAAAAAAACCCTCTAGAACATTTCAAATATTCTCCGTCCAAAAAGCGCCCTCTCGCGCCCCAAACCAGAAGGGATTGACCCACACCAACACCGCAACGTCACCCGACCATCGACGTACAAACATAAAAAAGCCCTCGAAAAAACACTTCAATTCCAATAATAATTTTCCTAATCTCGCCTTAACAACAGCGCGCTCTTTCCCCAAATCCGAAACCCTCTCCATTCCATCGAAATTCCCCTCTATAATTAGTATTCTTGTAATGGCGGGCGGCGTTGCCAGCGCCCGTCATGGCCCGCCATCGGCGGCACATTTATGGGTGCGCGCCCCCCTTTGAACCCGTAGACGATCTGAGGAGGCGGCAGGCGGTGCGGCAACACCGCCCGAACCCTACATAAACACTGAGACAGACCGCAGTGAAATGTATGCACGTGACGAGTCACTTTGCGCTCCATAACCTAAAACGGTTGGTTCACGTGAATTGCCGGAAAACAACGCTCTCGAAACGGTTGCGGGCGATCCACAGGGGTCCGACTGATCGCAACGTTTCAGGTAGTGGACGGCCGGACCGTCGTCAGTGTGCGGTTGTGCGCGCATTTTGGCGCTTTCGCCATTTCGTTGCGACAGCCCGATTAACGCGAGTGTGTTTGTTTCAGAGGGCAGAGAACGTGGATCTTTCGCTCAGCATTCCACAGTCCAACTTCCAAAGCAACGGCTACGAAATGGGCGATCAGGTAAGCGAACTGGTGTTTTGGTTGAATTGTTTGACAAGTCCTCAGCCGCCATTTTGCCGGCCAGGCTCTTCTTCTTCTTGGCAGCGTGGGGCAGGAGGTGTGGCGCTCTCGCTCCCACTTGCCGCGCGGTGGTATAGGGGTTTCAGTCGCACATGCAGCATGTGCGGGCACCGAGCCACTTTAATGGGCTCCGAATCGCATAATTTATTGGACAGGCCGAGAAATATGGGCGCATAACTTTTGCATGAAAATAAAGAAGAATTATGCGAAACGCCGTAAATCAAGTTTTGCGAATTTTTATTCGTTGGCCCCGGGCGCTGAGGCCGGGTGGTGGGGGGTTGACGGTTTGTTATTTTTCGCGCGCCCCTTAATTAAATGTAATGAATTATTCGGGGAAGTTTTCATTCGCAGTCAGCGACTGGAGTTTAGTGGGTTTTCAAAATGGAAACTTGGTGCACGCTCGTAAAACTTCTAAATTGGAAACTGTGTGCAAGTTTCTTCGCATAGACGGGGAGAGGGAGAAGGTGGGGGGAGGACGATCGATAATTGAAACTGAACAGGTTTTAAGTTTTTGCATTCGCGCTTGATTTCAGTTTGTACGCGTGTCGGACTCTTGGCGTTGCCAAATGGTGGATGGCTTGCGCCCTGGCGGCCGGTCGGCGCAGCTCCACAAGGATGAACGTTGGGTTTTGACAGTTTTTGGGGGATTTTTCGCGGAAATTCGCGCGTCCAAAAATGTTAAGTTTGCAGTCGACTGAAAAAATCGCGTCTTTTCCGAAACTGTTTATTTTTGCGAAAGTTTCCGCTTTGCATGGTTTTGCTGGAGGAACAAGTTTTTACCAGGATTGGTTTCGGAAAATGTTTTTTTTGCAAACCGTCCGTTTTTTCAAAAACTGTTTGAAAACCAAATGTTTTTGACCCAAAAAAAATGTTGGTTTTTTGCTGTCCAAATGGAAAGCAAATTTTCGAAAAAATCGACGCGTGAGATTCAGCAGAAAAATCGAAAAAATTGTTCCAGAAAGTCCAAGGTTGCATTTTTTTTTAGTACGGGATTTTTTGGATAAACTGCATTCTCGCTAAAATATGGCATTTTGGGCCCCCAAACCAGGTGCAAAATTTGAAGAAAATCGCTTGAGTTTTTCTGCCCAAAAAGTCGAAAATTTGGTTAAAAAATTAAAATTTTGCATTTTTTTTTCAAAAAGGCGACGTTATTTTGAAAAATATTTGCTTTTTCGTGTTTGAGTTGAAGCGAAATGGTAAAAAAATTTGCCTCGTGAGGTTGAGCAGAAAAATGGTCTCGGAAAGTCCAATGTAGCATTTTTTCAAAAACTCAGGATTTTTTGGAAAAAATACATTCTTGGAAAAATGTTGCATTTTGGGCCCCCCCATCAGGTGCAAAGTTTGAAGGAAATCGATTGAGTTTTTCGAAAACCGAGGGTTATTTTGAAAAAAAATGTCTGCTTTAAAAATGTTGGCTTTTCCGTATTTGAGTTAATAGAAGGTTTTGAAAAAATTCACCGCCTGAGATTTAGCACAAAAATGGAAAATGCACTGTTGCATTTTTTCAAAAACTAGTCATTTCCCCGGAACACTAAAACTAGCACTTTGGGCGCGGCATGCAAATGCAAAGATTCAAAACAATCGTTCGACTCTACTTGAAAAAAAAAAATAAAAAAACACGAATCAGAAGCGCGCAATGTTGCCCTTTTTCCTAAAATTCGGGAAGGTTCCTCTTGCAAAAACCGCCAATTTTGAGCGCCGCAATCTAATGAAAAGTTTAAAATAAATCGTTCGACTCTCTCTGAAAAAAAAATAAAAAAACACGATTCAGCAGCGCGCAATGTTGCATTTTTTCCAAAAATGACGAAAAGTTTGGAAAAATGTTCTCTTGAAAAAACCGCCAGTTTTGTTCCAAGTGAATCGTTCGACTCCATTTGGCCAAAAAGTAGAAAAACCAGTTTTCGAAACCGCAATGTTGCACTTTTCCCAAAAATGCGAGCTTTTCCGGACAAAAACCATTCGTGCGAAAACGTTTCGCTTTCACTTGGGCCAGTCAACCGGAAAAAATCGCCGCCAAAAAACTAAAAAATTGGAAAAAATCCCATCTTTTCCGGAAACAAACGCACTCGGCCACACCCAATTCAATAACCAAGAAAACTGCCTTCAACCTTTTGCGTTCCTCCTGCTGCTGCTGCTGCTGCTGCTGTTGTTTCATGCTCTCTGGCTCGATCCAATCGAATGAAGGATGAACGAAAACAATGAACACGAGATGAATAACCCTGATGGGTCAACGGCCCTAATCAAGGCGGCTGTGCATTGTTTCTGCGATGTAAACGAACTCAAATCGTTGCCTTTTTTTCTGATGTTTGTTTGTTTCTTTTTTGTTGCAGACTTTTCACGCCCCCAGTTTTGGAGACGAAGAATTTGACATTCCGAACATCAGCCATCAGCAGCAGCAGCAGCAGCAGCAGCAACAACAGCAACAGCAGCAGCAACAGCACACGTCCCAAGGTCACAATGAGCCGCAACAGCAACACTACCCGCCACCTATGCAGGTAAACTGTCCACTGACATTGACATTTGCGACACCTTGTCAACTCAGTGACAGGGTAAACTTCAAGTTTTTGACTGACAGTTTTGACAGCTGATTGACATTGAGTTTGACAGTCGCGTTGTTGGTTAGAACTAAAAGAGTGTGGCGTCCTCTTGCAGGGCATGCAGCAAATGAATCAACAGATGAACCAGCAGCAGGACGCAATGGGGCTGCATGATCCAACGGGGGGCTACCAACAGCCCCTTTATTTGTCGGGGCCCGAGCACGGAATGGTGGGGCAACAATATCACAGTCCGCAGCCCAACTATTCGATGTCGCCCAGTCAGCAGGTGAGAGCCAATGCGCGTGCGGCTTGGTTAAGGGGGCGGGGCTTCGAGTCGACTGCGGCTGTTTCGCAAATACTTTCATTTCGAAATTGCCAGTTTTTTGCCATCAAACGTAAAAACACTGTCATTTTGCATGTTTTTTTGACCATAACCTCCAAACGCGCTCATCTACACCACTGCAGTTTGACACGTCAGTTAAATACCCGAAAATGCACAATTTTCCTAAGGACACTTTCAAAATTTCCAGTTTTTCCCCAGCAAACGTCAAAACACTGCTATTTTGCCTGTTTAACAGATATCTTAGCATAACCTCTAAACGCGCTCATCTACGTCACTGTCATTCAACACGTCAATGAAATACTCCAAAATGTACACTTTTTCTTAAGACACTTTCAAAATCTCCAGACTTTTCCCACTAAACGTCAAAACACTGTCATTTTGCATGTTTTTTTGTCCATAACCTCCGAACGCGCTCATCTACACCACTGTAGTTTGACACGCCAATTAAATACCCGAGAATACACAGTTTTCTTTAAGACACTTTTTCAAAATTTCCAGTTGTTCCTCAGCAAACGTCAAAACACTGCCATTTTGCATGCTTAATATATATCTTAGCATAACCTCTAAACGCGCTCATCTACGTCACTGGCATTCAACACGTCAATGAAATACCCGAAAATGCACACTTTTTCTTAAGACGCTTTCAAAATTTTCAGTTTTTTTTTCATCAAACGTCAAAACACTGTCGTTATGCATGTTTTTTTTGTCGATAACCTCCAAACGCGCTCATCTACACCACTGTAGTTTGACACGTCAATTAAATACCCGAAAATGCACACTTTTCCTTAAGACACTTTTTCAAAATTTCCAGTTTTTTCTCAGCAAACGTCAAAACACTGCCATTTTGCATGCTCTTTTGCTCATAACCTCTAAAGGCGCTCATCTACGTCATTGCTATTCAACACGTCAATAAAATACACGAAAATGCACACTTTTCCTTAAGGCACTCTTTCAAAATGTCCAGTTTTTTTTTCATCAAACGTTAAAACACTGTCATTTTGCATGTTTTTTTGTCCATAACCTACAAACGCGCTCATCTAGACCACGGTAGTTCCATACGTCAATTAAATACCCGAAAATGCACACTTTTCCTTCAGACACTTTTTCAAAATATCCATTTTTTTCCCAACAAACGTCAAAACACTGCCATTTTGCATGCTTTTTTGCTCATAACCTCTAAACGGGCTGATCTACGTCACTGTCATTGAACACGTCAATGAAATACCCGAAAACGCACACTTTTTCTTAAGACGCCTTCAAAATTTTCAGTTTTTTTTTTATCAAACGTCAAAGCACTGTTATTTTGCATGTTTGTTTTTGTCCATAACCTCCAAACGCGCTCCTATCTACACCACTGTAGTTTGACACGTCAATGAAATACCCGAMAATGCACASTTTYCYTTAAGACACCTTTTCAAAATTTCMAGTTTTTTTTTCATCAAACGTCAGAACACTGTCATTTTCTTCGTTTTTTGCAAGTAACTCCGAAACTCGTTCACCTACGCCACTGCAATTCAACACACAACTAAAGCACCAAGAAACGCACAGTTTTTTTAAAGACATTTTTTGGAATTTTTCAGTTTTTTTCCCATCAACAGTCAAAACACTGTCATTTTGCATGTGTTTTTGCCCATAACCTCGAAACGCGCTCGTCTATGCCACTGTGATTCAACACGTCAGTGAAATACCCGAAAATTAACACTTTTCCTTAAGACAGTTTTTCAAAATTTCCAAGTTTTTTTTTCCATCAAACGTCAAAACACTGTAATTTTCTTCGTTTTTTTGCAAWTAACTCCGAAACGCGMTCACYTRCGCSACTGCAATTCAACACACAACTAAAACACTAAGAAACACTCAGTTTTTYSCCAGCAAACGTCAAAACACTGTCATTTTGCATGTTTTTKTTGCCCATAACCTCCAAACGCGCTCATCTWCGCCCCTGTCATTCAACACACAGCTAAAATACTCAGAAACGCACGACTGTTTCCATTGGTGATTGTTGTTTGTTTGTAGCAACAGCATAACAACCAACTGTTGATGATCCATCAGCAGCAGCAGCAGCAGCAGCAGCAGCAGCAGCAGCAGCAGCAACAGCAGCAACATCAGCAGATGATGATGAGTCATGGGCAGCCGCCCCCTGGCGCGATGGGGGCGTATGCGGCGTCGCCGCAGCATCCGCAGGGGCGGGGCAACAGTCCGCCCGCCCCCGGCCAGGAGCACACAACCAGTGACGATAGTGACGACAGCACGCCCCACCCTGCCATGGTGAGTGTTGTTTGGGTCTGATTGGTKGCCGTTTTTGACAGAAAACTGTCATTTTTTGGCGTCATTTGACACACACATYAAACTGGTTAAGGTGCACACTTTTTAGGAATTTCTTACTTTTTTTAACAAACGGCAAAAAACTGTCATTTTTTATAGTTTTTTGSTGATAGCCTTGAAATTCGTCCAGCTRAGCATCTGTCATTTGACGTACAAGTAAAACATGTAAAACTTCAMWYKTTTGCGAAATTCCAAATTTTTTTCAACAAACGTCAAAAAAACTGTMATTTTTTTATGGTTTTTTGGCGATAACTCCGAAATTCGTCCAGCTACGCCTCTGTAGTTTGACACACACATAAAACGGGTGAAGATGCACACTTTTTCTTCAGGCAATTTTTAGAAATTCCTTACTTTTGTTAACAAACGTCAAAAAACTGTCAACTTTTATGTTTTTTTGGCGATTACTCTGAAATTCGTCCCGCTAAGGCGCTGTCATTTGACATACAAGTAAAACATCTAAAACTTCACACTTTTTCTTAAGACACTTTTTCAAAATTGCCAGTTTTTTCCCATCAAACGTCAAAACACTGTCATTTTCTCCGTTTTTTTGCAAATAGCTCCGAAACGCACAGTTTTTCTTAAGACATTTTTTGGAATTTTTCAGTTTTTTTCCCCACCAAACGTCAAAACACTGTCATTTTGCATGTTTTTTGCCCATAACCTCCAAACGCGCTCACCTACGCCACTGAAATTCAACACACAATTCAAACACCAAGAGGCGTACAGTTTTTCTTTAGATATTTTTTGGAATTTTTCAGTTTTTTTGTTCAGCAAACGTCAAAAAACTGTAAATTTCAATGTTCTTTTGCCCACAACTCCGAAACGCGCTCATCTACGCCACTGTTATTTCACACACAAATAAAACCCGTGAATATGCACAAGTTTTCTTATGAAACGTTTTCAAAATTTTTAGTTTTTTTTTCCATTAAACGTCAGAATACTGTCATTTTGCATGTTTTTTTGCCCATAACCTCCAAACGCGCTCACCTACGCCACTGAAATTCAACACACAACTCAAACACCAAGAAACGCACAGTTTTTCTTTAGAAATTTTTTGGAATTTTCCAGTTTTTTTGTTCAGCAAACGTCAAAAAACTGTAATTTTCAATGTTCTTTTGCCCACAACTCGGAAACGCGCTCATCTACGCCACTGGAATTTCCCACACAAATAAAACCCGTGAATATGCACAAGTGTTCTTATGAAACGTTTTCAAAATTTTCAGTTTTTTTCCATTAAACGTCAAAACACTGTCATTTTGCATGTTTTTTTGCCCATAACCTCCAAACGCGCTCACCTACGCCACTGAAATTCAACACACAATTCAAACACCAAGAGGCACAATTTTTCTTTAAATATTTTTTGGAATTTTCCAGTTTTTTTTTGTTCAGTAAACGTCAAAAAACTGTAATTTTCCATGTTTTTTGCCCACAACTCCGAAACGCGCTCATCTACGCCACTGTAACTTCACACACAAATGAAACACGCGAATATGCACATGTTTTCTTATGAAACGTTTTCAAAATTTTCAGTTTTTTTCCAATTAAACGTCAAAACACTGTCATTTTGCATGTTTTTTTGCCCATAACCTCCAAACGCGCTCACCTACGCCACTGAAATTCAACACGCAACTAAAACACTAAGAAACGCACAGTTTTTCTTGGAAAATTCCCAATTTTTCCGTAAAAAATTGTTCAACTTTCTTCTTCTTCTTCTGCTTCCGACACTAAAAACATCGAATGAAGAAGCAGCATTTGATTGGGCGGTTTGTTCACTTTTCCAGATCACGGCCATGAAAAAGCCGAGTCCAGAGCCTGCCGATCCCGCGCTGACGAAGGCCCAGAAGAAGCCGAAGGTGCAGAAGAAGAAAAAGAAGAGAGACCCGAACGAGCCCCAAAAGTAAGTATTTATGCCACTTTCCCGGGGGGAATTGAACGGTTCTTGTCGATTTTTGCCTGCTTTTTCGTGATTTTTTCCAAAATTTTCGGGTTGGAGAGAGGAAAAAAAATCACCATTAGGATGATTTTTCGTGCAAAAAATTTTTTTGCGTGCTTTTTCGCGATTTTGTCCGAAATTTTCCGGTATGAGAGAAAAAAAATCAGTTTTAGGAAGATTTTTTGTGCGAAATATTCAGGAAAGACGACGTAAATGACGGCCAAAAATGCGAAACAAACGAATTTTTTTTTGTTTTTGAAATGCAAACCAGATGAAGGAGCCAGACGGGGACGAAAGTCGAATAAAATGCATACAAAATCCGGGATTTCGATAATCGTTTCAAGTGTTTTGAACGTTTTAAAGGCGACATCAATAATTCATCGAATAAATTTGAAACTTTTAGATATTCGGGGGGGAGGCGATGGGCAGTTTTTCTTTGTTTTTGTCGGTTCCATATTAATGCTGCTGCATGCTGATTGGCTGGATCAAATGCATACATGCGGGCCCGATTTAAGTCAGAATCCGGAATGGAGACGCGATTATGCAGTCGTTATGTTAATACCAGGAAATGCGAGGGATTGATTAGAATTTCGGATTTTTGGCCGGTTTCTCTGGGTCATTAACCACTGCTCAATCGAACCAAACCTCGGGTTTTTGAGTCAGTTTTTTGCTGTTTTCTCCACACCCCTTTGGCCGAATTGGTTGCGATTTGGCAGGAGGACGAAGAAGGTGGTTGCCGATGTTTTTCCAAGAGAGGCCTTGTTGCCGATTTTCCTTGCTTTTGGCTACAGCTGCGAAAAACTGGTTTCAAGGTTAGTTTTTTGTCATTTGCTTCCAAACTCCGTACGTTAAAACAATCGAAATTTCGCAC